AAAAAAAAAAAAAAGCTTAATATTTATTTGTTTACTTTATTAAACATTTCTTTCAATAAGTTGTTTAAGTTGCTTCGTTTTTTATGTGATAATACATTCTCTTTAATTCTATAAATAGACATAATTTCTTGTTCAGTTACAAAGTTCCGCTGTTCAAGTCCTATAATTGCTGTGTCGAGAATACCGACTAATTTGTCAATTGAAATTTTTTCGTTTTCAATAACCTCTGTCACTTTCTTCGCTATCGAAGCGAATTATAATGACGAGGAATTTGATTTAAATCATATCAAAAACGGAGTACATCGAGATGAAATACTACATTTACTAAGGAATTATAAGCCAAATAAAATAAAAACATCTGCCCTGAAGATAAGGATAGTGCTGACAAATCAACTTCCAATTCATTGCGCGCCGCGGCATTAAAGATAAACAAACGTTAAAGTTTAGATAAACAAAGGATATGCCTGTATCCATTTTTTTGTAGCAATTCCACTTTTTGTTTAATGGATTTCGAAACATACTTTCGCTTTGTAGATCCTTTACATATTAGTAAATATATATCAGAAATTCTATTTGACATAATCGAAAGTTCAAGCTTACTTTTATAAAATTGCTCTAACAGTCTGCAAAAAATAATAAGCCGAATCCAATTCGAAGATTAAGGAACAACGCAATCTGCAACATTAACTGAATTAGATAATTTTTGCTTTATACCGTCCGTTATACATTAAACGCGCATTCGCAAACGTATTTTGCGCACGCCTACACGCGTATTCGCAGCCGTAAAGGTCTTACGTGCGCAGCTTTGACGTCCGGATTATGGGTGTCCGAATTAACGACTTTTGACTGTACATAATTATTTCTGTGCAGTTTTTATTCTTCTAATGTTCAAATTTAAATAGTTAATTAACAAATTTATATAGCCAATGTAATATTGATTTCGGCGATCTTGTTTGCCACAAACAAAATTCTAGAATATCTGTTCAAAATTCAAAAATAAAAATTACTGATAATTCCTTATTAAAGTGGCTACTGTGGTTAGTTACCAAGATTGGCACACTTAATTCCCATATTGGTACTTGCTTGTCAGGGTTGGTGCTTTGTATGTTGCCACATGGTGTAACTCTGTGGCTACTGGATTCTGTCACTCTCTACATTCCCTAAATTCTTAAAATTTTGATACCTAGTGCTGTCATACTGATCCATTTATTTTGTACAGAAACTCCCACATAAGGCTTTAGTAACATTTGAAATTTACACATTATAGACAGAGCAATCAAGTTTGCTAATTTAAATGAAAAAGGTGTGGTGACTAATTTTAGAAAGGACTGGATTAGATTATATGGGTTATGGCTAAGGCAGGAATGTGGCTTACGGCTTAATGTGGGTTATGGCTAGGGCAGGAATTATGTGGGTTATGGCTAGGCCATGGATTTTTTGTGGCCCTAAGCACTTAAGAGGTTTTAGTTGCCTCCTCATACATTTACATCAATTTTTTTCCTATTCCTTCTCTCTCAGTCTTAGTTAAACTACACCATGCTTTCCATGGTAAACCTGGCAACAGAAGATTTTTGTGGTGCCCTCTTTCCTTGAAGCTCTAAGGCCTTGCTTAGTATTTTTAATTGTTAATCTAACTCTTGTTGTGTGAAAACATTCAAGGGTCATCTGTCTAAGGAAAGTGATACTTTGTGGAGAATATTTTGGGAAAACTGGCTAAGGTCCATATTACTCATTTGGAAACAACCCATGCAACCAATCCACTCCCCGGAATTTGAAGCTGGGTCAAACCTCCAATGTCCACACTTTTACTGGTTGACCATGGATCAGCCATTTTATCAAGGAGATATTGCCAAATTTATGTGCGACTTTTGTCCCCAATAGCCATAGAATGGCCTCTAAATTTTCAAATGTTACTCACAATCAGAGTTTATGTTCTAAAATTAAAAGTGCCAGAGCTCTGTAGAGGGCTACCAGGAAAGATGAACAAAAGTAACTAAATAAAATAATTAATAATTAAAATAACAAATGATTAAAATAATAAAAAAATTAATTTAAACAAATTATAAAGCAATAAATAAAAAATTTAATAAATTAATGATAAATATTTACAAAATAAAATAAAACACTGGACTTTCTTTTATCTGGTGCTTCAGCTGGAATTACGATTTTATTCAAAAGCTAAGAAATAGCACAGGCATACTCTGACTGAATTTAAATGTTGGATATAAACAGGATAAGTTGCTGTTTAGGGGACACCAGATACAAAAATCATTCTTTCCCCAGCATACCAATGAAAAAGAATACAACAAATAAAGTGGCACTTATAGTAATAGAAAAAATACTAGAATTAGTATAACAGCATCAAGATAAAAAATTAAAAGAGAAGTATAGATACAAAAACACAAAGAAAAGAGTCATACATTTTCTGACCATGATTACTTTTTTTACATAATTCCAGCTGTCAAGCAGAATGTGGCAGGGGAAAGAATTGGCCTCAAATCTGAGGGATTGATCTATAAGCTAAAGACAAACCTGAGGTTCTGTACAAATGATGATCTGGATTCCCACATTTGGTTATATCCTTCCAAAAGGTCTGCAGATGCTCTTTTAATGGAAATTCAGTAGCACTGAGTGCATCTGAGCATTTTTCAAAGTATTTTATCATTTACAGTCTGTAGTAAATTGGCCACTGAGACCCAATTTCAAGATCGCCGCTACACAAAACTAAAATAACAAATTAAAGAATTGCACAAACTCAGTGTTCATGTACACATCGAGCTATTTTCACTTAACATCAGAAAATTGCACAAACTCAACATTGCACAGTTCCTTGACTCTGTCCATGAACACATCGATCTATTTTCACTTAAAAAAAATCAGGAGAATAATGCTGTCATATAAAGTTAAGTTACTCATCACCAAAACTGAACAAAATTTGTACCCAATCAAAGCTCAATAAACTGCATTTTAAATCATACAATGAAATAACATAAAAAAGAAAATACATGGGTAAAAGTACAGTTTAGGGTACCCCTTGGTGAAACTTGGCGGTTTTTGGCGGTACATGGATACCGATTTTTGCAATTCTTTGACTTGTTATTTTGGCTTGCGAAGTGGCGATTTTTGCCCCAAAAATCGCCGCTACACAAAGCCAAAATAATAAGACAAACAATTGCACAAACTCGGTATCCATTTACACATCGACTTATTTTCACTTAAAAAAAATCCCCGAATTGCACAAAAATGGCATTGCATACTCCTTTGACTTTATCTCCATGTACACGTCAACCTATTTTTACTTTAAAAAAAATACCCAAATTGCACAAAAATGGCATTGCGCACTCTTTTAACTTTAGCCATGTACACGTCGACCTATTTTCACTTAAAAAAAAAAAAAAAATCCCAGAATTGCACAAACTTCCATTGGGCACTCCCTTTACTTTGTCCATGTACACAATGATATATTTTCATTTAAACAGTCAAAGAAACACCAAATTCTACAATATAGGCAAACAAAAAATACACAATCTCAATAAAATACATTTTAAACCAAACAATACAATAACATAAAAAAGGAAAAACATGTTATACATTTAAGCACTACCAAAAGCAAATATTCACTTACCATGATTTTCGAATTCGCTTCGTACACCCAGAACCACGTAAAAATCAAAATATCAATCATACTCAAATGACTTTTTTTCAAACCAGGTACTCTTTCTGATCAAACCCTTCACATAGTGACCATCTGAACCTTTCTTCCTACAAACCCATTCAAATCCATCTAAACGGTTTTTATGCTCGACTAGACACATATCCTTCCTACATACAGGACACTTATAATGGCTACTAAGTAAACCTTCATTTAAACTTCAGTCAATTAGCTCTTTTCCCCTTTTGCTCCAAATCGTACAGAAAGTTCAAATTACAAATTAATCTTACTACATGCGGCCATTCTACTGTCTAAAGAATCAAACCAACACACAACCACAAAAATGCTTACAAAACATCCCAGGATTCAAAATTTCTCAGAATCATGCACCCGATTACGTCGCAATATAAATGAAACAACAGCTTCTCCATAATACAAGGGGTACCTTAAAGTCTACTCTACCCAATACATGTTATTGCATACATGCACTACAAAAAGGAAATATCGACTTGCCATATTAGAAATTTCTGTGTCTTCAGTATGTGGCACACAAAATTCCTTAACAACATCCAAAAACTTTTCTAAATTATCTCAACTAGAATGTGCATACTGCCGTCACCATATAAATTCATAAAAATAAGAGTAAAAAATATCCTCCATAGTGCCAGACAAACCCATTCAAATCCATCTGAACAATCTTTACGTTTGAACACATACATTTCCTTCGTATACACAGAACATTTATAATGACTATTGGGTAAACCATCATTTACACGCCAGTCAATTAATGGTTTCTTTCCCTTTCGTTCCAAATCATACAGAAACTTTACATTAAATTAATCACATACAGCCATTTTATGGTGTACAGCACAAAATAAGCAATGTACTTCCTAACTCACATCCAACACAGAAAGAAGCCCTTACAAATATTGGCAAAAGTATACTTCAGGGTACCCCTTGGCGAAACTTTGCGATTTTTGGCAGTATATGGATACTGAGTTTGTGCAATTCTTTGGCTTATTTTGCCTTGCGTAACAGAAATTTTTGGGGCAAAAATTGCCGCTACACAAAGCCAAAATAACAAGACAAAAATTGCACAAACTTGGTATCCATGTGCACAACAACCTATTTTCACTTAAAAACAAAAACATCCCAGAATTGCACAAAAATGGCATTGCGCACTCTCTTGACTTTATCCATGTACACATCGACCTATTTTAACTTCAAAAGTCAAAGAAGCAAAACAAAAAAATACATAATCTGAATAAACTACATTTTAAATCAAACAATAAAATAAGATAAAAAAGGAAATTGATCTTAGCACTACACGAAGGAAATATCCACTTACCTTATTTACGAATTTATGAGTCTTCAGTCAAACACATCCCAAAAATAAGAGTAAAAAATATCCTCCGTTCGAAATTATCCGATGTTCGACCGTTCGCATTTCCTTCCTCCAAGCAGGGCACTTAATAATGGCTACTAAGTAAACCTTCATTTACACACCAATCAATTAATGCTTTTTTCCCTTTCATTCCAAATCCTACAGAAACTTCAAATTAATCTTACCACATTCAGCCAATTTATCGTGTAAACCACAAAATAACAACGTACTTATCCATCACACACAAGCCCTTACCCAAAATCCGACACACACTTTAAAAATTTTTTCCCATGATTCAAATTCACTGCAACCAATTACGTCATAATAGGGTTTCCATAGCATTCAACTACTCAGGTTGTCATAAATGAGACAACAACTTGGCAATAAATGAAACAACAATTTCGCGATAATACAAGGCATACCCTAAAGTCAACTCTAACCCAAATGTTTTCCCATCAGTCAAATTAACCGCAATCATACAACCAATCACATCATAATAAGGTTCCCATAATATTTGACTACTCAGGTTACCATAAATGAAACAACAACTTGGTGATAATCCAAGAGGCACCCTAAAATATAGACAAACCGTAAATTACAACCATTCAGGAACATAAACATAGCCTTCTACATTCTATATTAAATCATAAGTAACTAAAATCGATACCTAATCAGTGAATATAGAGGCACAACCAGGATAATAATTTTTAGTACTTTCATGACAGAAAAATTTACTCCTTCTGAAACAAGCTTTCATAAAGATTATTGTAACTCCTTCAAAATGAAATTTTTCCAAATGGGTGAGACATTTTTGTTCTTAAAATTCTAAATCTTTGCTCATTTTTAAGGCATATATATTACTAAAATAAAATTTTACAAGATTAAAAGAATTTTCTCCTTAAATTGTGTTTCAGCTTCGTGCCGGAGCTTTTCTTATGTAGGACACTGGTGTACTCCTGTTTGAATTATGATTTAACTCCAAAAACTGAGATGGGTAAAAGTTTACAATTGGGTGCCTCTTGCTTTTCTAGCGATTCTTTTGTGACGCCAAATTCGACGGCAGGATGGCACAATTTCAAGAGAGCCGCTACACAAAACTAAAATAAGAAATCAAAGAATTGCACAAACTCGGTGTCCATGTACACATCGATCTATTTTCACTTAAAAAAAAAAAAAAAAAAAAAAAAAAATCAGGAAGATAAAGCAAAGCTAAAACTATCATGGTAATCAGAAATGGGGTTTTTATCGCCAAAATTGAACAAAATTTATCGCTAATCGATGGGACATCCAATTCTACTTTAGAGCCCTGAGAAGTATCGAGACAGACTCCGGGGCAATTTAAGCTGTATTCACTCACAATATCACATTTAAATTATGATTGCGACTGCCGATATTTTACACTTTATTTAATTACTCACCGAATATTCTTCAGTTCCCGTCTAATTAACTGTATTTCAGTTGACTGTTTTTCTAAATCTGACATATTTCTAAAATTTAAATGAAAGATCAAATTTCTAAAACATTTCGCATTAAATTGAATTTGTTATAATAAGCTTCTTGTAATTAGAATCCAATCTGATACAAATTACCTAATTATAAAAAAAATTACATTTTATATTTTTTATTTACTATGATGAGGTTAAAAATTCAAACACTCTTTCAACTTTCAAAGATCATATAAAATAGCAGATTTCATAATTTCAAATCAGTATAAACACTCCGTGTTTCAAATATATTTACAAACAAACCACGTTTCCTTTTGCAGTTGCTAAGGTTTTCTGCTCGCCAGGCGAAAAAGTAAACACAAGTGTGAAAGAAAAACTACGAATGGCAAAGTACGACTGGATGAAATCAGAACATCTAACAAGTACAGTACTTAATTTGGCAGAGGAAAAAAAAAAAAAAAAAAGTAGTATCGTTTGTTTATTGCTTATATCTCCTAATGTGCAACGCAAAGGATTCATATACATCTTTTCAGTAGTTGAACCCTCATGAATATGTTTGCCTATCAGAGGAGAAATAGAAACTAAGAAATTGTTTTGTCAGGATCGTGGAACTTCCGACGTATTGAGTTAGGAAGAGGGGAAACATACTAACTTCGAAACTGAATTAGGGCCCTATTCACGACAAGGAGCGTTAATAACGATCTTCTCTTAACGGACGACCGCTAAATTTCACGGCTCCAGTAACCGTAAGGACTGTTGGTTAAATTGGCATTCGTGACAACGACCGTCGGAGGAATCCTTACGGTAAGCAACCTTCGTTCGAGAGTTGGGAAACTTCGTTAAAATAAGCCAATCATATTACAGCTACTAGAGACACAGGTTGACTCATCAGCCATGTTCAAGCGTGGGCCTTCGTATTGTAGCCACGCTTTAGGGTTGTATTTCAGGTTTGGGGTGCCATTTTTGGCTCTTTAGCAGTGTTCGCTAAAACGTTATTATTTAACATTCTAGGGTATCCAAACTTCCGATTTTTTGCATTCATATAAAGATGTGTGGATTTGTCCCCCTTCTTTTCTCTGCAGTTCAGCTTCTTTCTTGTATTTTTTTTTAAACTGCCAAATTTCTCATATGATTTAAGTTATTTTGAAAGTTTCTAAAACATTTTCATATAGTATATTTCACATTTGTATATTAGTTAAAAATACTTTCTTTATTGAATTTTCAATTTTTACTTTTAAATACATGCATAATGTTAAGCATCTGAAAATCTATTTTTTGACAATAAATTCCTCGCAGCTGTATGTTTAAATTTTTATGAGGTTGTACTGGATTTATAATCATACTTTCATAGTTATTAAACTTTTTTCCTTTTAGAATTCAAGGTAATTTCATGTGTCATATAAAAATTATATGTCTCTCAGTGCTCTATTTGTATGATAATTCTTAATTTCTCAGCTATGGCATTTCAGTACTGATGGAGTTAAGCATATTACTTTTATTTACATTACATGTTAAACTATTTAGAGGCCATTAAAGCTGTGGGTACAAATTGGTATGAATACAACTTCAGTAATTTTTAAGTTTCTAAAGCTTTCCTGAATCAACAGATAATTTCCTAAAATTGTCAATAAATTTTTACATGATGAATACATAAGTGCATGCTGGCGCTTTAATATATCTAGCAAGTTCACAGTTTAAACTTCTGAAAAAAATTAATAGCATGTCTGCATATAAAGCATGTTTTTTATTTTAAATCTGCTATTTGAAGTTTGCTTACATGGAATCTAACATCTATTATTGTAGCAAACTGGTTAAAAATGTTATTTTGCATGTGTTTCCAGAAAAGGCTTTATGATTTTAAATACTGGTTCAAGACAAGCACCTTTAAATTATAATGCTCAGATTGAAGTGCAAAATGATGCTGTAAAAATATACTTCAGTTCTCTGATGGCAAAAAAAAAAAAAAAAAAAAAAAAAAATTGTATAGATTTAGTAGAGTAAAAATTCCACATCAAAAACATTTTTTCACCCTTATTTAGGTAAAACGAAATTAAAAAATAATACGTACATAAATAAATAAAAATAATACTTTTACATACGGAATTTGCAGATATTATTTACTAGTCAATTATTTGTTATTGATAGCTACTTTTTATAACACATAGAAAAAATACTGATAAATTTGCTACTGATAAATTTACATGCATTAAATGATGAAAAAAACATACATATGCTGTTAATAGTACACTTATCTGAATATTTAATGATAATTCCATAACCTATATAAGATTCAATCTATACCACTGCAAGGGCAATGCTTAAATCACAGTCAGGGGCGTAGCTAGATGGGGGCATCTGTCCCCGGGCGCAGAATCTAAGGGGCGTCAAACTGATGTTACGACATTTTAGAATTAAATGTTTTCCATCCTTGGTAAGCAGTAGGGGGCACGAAATCTTTAGTTGTCCCTGGGCGCTGAAAACCCTAGCTACGACTCTGATCACAGTTCTTATTAGTTAATTTCCATATGTAAAAACATAAAAATATCATTTAGCTACAGATCTATAGATTATGGCCTCTTGTAACAAGCATATGCAAAACACAGACAGTGAAAATAATGCAAAAACAGAATTTTTTTCACTTTTTTTTCTTAATGTAGTTGCAATTCATTCCTTATATTGAAATCTTATTAAAATACAGCAGTAATTTGATATGTTTTCTATTATAAATCAACAGCTTTATATAGAATGATTTTACTTTACTGGATTCCTTATTTAAATGAATGTATATGCAGGGGCGTAGCTAGAGGGGGGCAAGGGGGGCATCTGTCCCCGGGCGCAGAATCCAAGGGGCGTCAAACTGATGTTACGACATTTTAGAATTAAATGTTTTCCATTCTTGGCAGGCAGTAGGGGGCGCGAAATCTTCAGTTGTCCCTGGGCGCTGAAAACCCTAGCTACGACTCTGTGTATATGGAAATATCAAAATAAATGAAAAAAAAGGTCTGAATAATCTTAGCCAACACTGCTAAGATATTCTTATTTTCAATAAAATGTTCAAGGTACATCATTTTAGTTTAGTTCTTTTTCTATTAAAGCAGCTAACCTAAAACATATATCTCATTAATTTGTTAAAAATATAGCTTAAGTAAGTTTTATGTGCATACTGAATAAGCAGAAAAAAATAGCCTTGATTTAAAACCTGTTTTAAAGCAACAAGTAAATAAAATACTCTGGTTCTATTAGCATGTCAAAAAAAATGCTGTTATGTACTCTAAAAAAAATCCCAAGTATCACATTATGATATATTACACTCTTATAAAAGAAGAAGGTTGATCTTTACATTATGGTAACTTGGCGTTTTTTTGGCGAAAATTTGGCGACGAACTCTCCTACAGCAAACCTCTATTTTTTTTTCCCGCCGCCATTTTGTCTTCACGAAGTAAAGACATGTTTCTTTTCTTTTTATCTACTGAACACTTCTTCCAACAATCTACTAGCCGAATTACACTTATGCTAGAAATTTTATCTAAAAAAACTGCTTAATCATGACAAATATTCACTGCAAAATTGGGAAAAAGTGCACAATACCATACTCCTTACGCGTTTTTCAAAATAACACATACACATAAACCATACACACGCCGACTTATTTTTACTCAAAAAAACATCCCAGAATTGCACAAAAATGGCATTGCGCACACTCTTCACTATATCCATGTACACTGCTTTTTTCTCATAAATTAGAAAAATTTCACGAAAATACATGACAATTTTCTCAATCTTTAAACCCGCTAAAAAGAACATATATGAAATTACCTGATCGCGAAAAAGTCATGAACATTTCCACATATAAAATAAATAAAATATCCAAAAACTTTTACCTCTAAATAATCTATTACATTATACACGTCACCAACGAATTCATACCGCAACCATTACAAATACTTAGTGTCAGATATTTAAATTATTTCCATGCACGTTTACTTCAACTAAAACGTATACCAAATTCCTACAAACATAAAATTCACAAAATAACTATCATTTAATTAAAATATAATTAAATTCAAAAAACACTACTTAAAATATAAATGAGCACATACATTAAATTAATACATACATAAATACCCATTTCGAATTCACTTTAGTTACGGCCATGGGATCCAAAAATTCACGAACACTGTTTCACACAACACAGAATAAAGCCAAATACAAAATTTCCAGATTTTTTCCCGATTTCCCCCCTTTTCCGATTAAAGAACCGTAATTCGTCCATTAATATCACATGACATATCCCATGATCTCTCATTTCCCTCACACAAAATAATGCGTAATCGGAACTGAGTACTGCTCACATTATTACCAAAGTGCCAGGTAGTAACCTTTATCGCCTCCAAAATGTCGCCAAACTACCAGTTACCATATTGTAAAGATCAACCAAGAAGAAATATCAGTGAATAACCTTTTATGATTGATAACAAGGTAAACTATCACATCACATTGTGAAAAATCCTGCAAGTCATTACAATATAAGGTAAAAATCAGTTGATCATTCTTTTACTGTAGCACTAAGTTTCCCAATCAAAATTATGAATATGCCAAAACAAATTCACTATCGGTGCCCAAATTTAAGGTCACACAAAAGTAAATTTGATTTAGCTGAACATGAGATCTTCCAAGACAAATTTATGAACAAATTGATTTTCTTTAAAATGTACTTGCAAATTTAACAAAAGCATGCATGAAATTTAACATTAAATTCTAAAGCACTAGTATTTAATAACAGTTCCATGTATTAAATGAATTTAATCACACTTTTAAGAATGCAATTTTCTGATAAATTTTAATTTTTATAAGAAAATAGAATTAATTTTGTAAAGCTACTTAAAACATATTTCCTGTTCACACATTTAAATAAATTTTAAGTAAGTATACTTAAAAATGCAAC